CGAGCCGGGCAGGGTGGCCCTGCGCAGGCGGGAGCGGCGTCGCGCACTCCGGCGCTGCAGGCACCTCGGGGGCGGGCGCGGGGCGCGGGCTTCTCGTCCCGGCCGCGGTGACAATCGTCCGGGATCTCGGACTTGGGCTGCCCGGCGCGGGGTGGGCGAGGACACGCGTGCGGGGTTCGCGCGTGGCCCCGGGCGTCGCGATGAACATCGTGGTGGAGTTCTTCGTGGTCGCTTTCAAAGTGCTCTGGGCGTTCGTGCTGGCCGCGGCGCGCTGGCTGGTGCGGCCCAAGGAGAAGAGCGTGGCCGGCCAGGTGTGCCTCATCACGGGCGCCGGCAGCGGCCTGGGCCGTCTCTTCGCGCTGGAGTTCGCCCGGCGCCGGGCGCTGCTGGTGCTCTGGGACATCAACACGCAAAGCAATGAGGAGACGGCGGGCATGGTGCGCCACATCTACCGCGACCTAGAGGCGGCCGACGCCGCCGCGCTGCAAGGTAACTAACTCGCATCCGCTTGGGCATTGTTGGGTCAACCCCCTCCGCGGGAGGGCCCCGAACCCTGTCTCCGCCAGCCTCACTCTCGAAGAAAAACAAAATTCTACGGTCTTTCGGCAGACAAGTGGAATTTGTCCGGTAATCGCAGAGCGCGATCACCTCTGTACTAGAGGAGAAGCGTGCCAACCCTCGTCCTAGCCGAAAGCCTACCTCTTTGGGGCCGGACGAGTGTTTCCCAAGTCCTGTGAGGGTAAAAAGCCCCACTGATGGGGCTAATAGACAATTATCTCGCCCGGACTTGCATGCGGCTTGAGAAACTCAAGCGTCTTTAGGAAGTTGTTCCCAGACTGGACTAAAGCGTATGTCTGTGGTACTGTGGTCACGACCTCCTGGTCAGGACAGCATGGATGGTTTCTCTAACTGTAGCGCCGGGTGTGAGTGGAGGGATAATTACATTGTTTCACCCTTAATAAGTAAATGCTTTAGCTCCAGACCCGGGGAGTGATGCCCGGCCTCTAGAGAAAGTGTCTGAAGAATTTCAACCTCACTGTAAATTTCTTTCACGTTTTTGGTCACCCCGTCTGCATTTTTGTACATTAACTAGCCTGAACCCAAATATTGGCCCAAGAAATCTGATGATTGCTCTTGCTTTTTGGCAAAATTCTTCATTTCCAGGGAAAACACTGACTATATGAAGATGAACTCAGCCACACACTTCTCCTGTACTGATTACTTGTTACTAAATTTATTGGTACCTACCTTTTAATTGTTTGAAAATGTTAAATTTTCATTGTATGGAGGAACAGCAAATACACATTTTTGTGTATTCCCTTCCAAAATCTGAAGATAGCAATGCTGAGTTTCCCAGATTTTGGTTTGTAAGTGTTTGACTTGTTATGTAAAATTACATATTTACCTGTAAACTTGATTTGTAAGGTTACTTCTTAGGAAAGTCAGCTATAAAGCCAGTAATCTCCGTTTTTCAGAGAAATTTTATTTTATGGCTTTGGGTGAATTATACTGTTATTTAAGTTTTGACTCTGCTTTGAAGATGCTCATGATAATTGTTAGGAGCTATGTCTTGCTGCTATACTTTCCTCCTCCAAAAAAGAGGCTATGTATAATGTGTGTTGTTCTCAGCCCTTTCCTTCCCCTACACACACACTTCCCCCAAAAAGGAATGTGTAATGTGTGTGTTATTCTCTCGGCTGAGATCAGTTCTTTGCAGGTGTCTTTAACTCCAGCAAGCTAATCCCATGTGGTCCACTTGTATTGGGCTTGTCACAATTAAGTGACTTTCCCCTAAGCAAAGTTATCCAGTAAATTGCTGCAATTCCCAAAGACTTCAGGGGTTTGGGGGAAGGAAAGCAGCTGTAAGTTCAGTCATTGGCAAGCTTTATGGTGTTAGAAATCTGAAGCTCACTGTAGTATTTTTGTTTTGTGTGATCTTTGTCCTACTGATTACCAAGTGACTCACTTTCTGCATCTCCTTTTCTGTTCCATTTTTCCTCTCATCTGGACTTCTGAGGACAGCTGGGAATGGTGAGGAAGAAATTCTGCCCCACTGTAACTTGCAGGTTTTTACCTACACCTGTGATGTGGGGAAGAGAGAAAATGTCTACCTGACTGCTGAGAGGGTCCGCAAGGAAGTTGGCGAGGTCTCGGTCCTAGTCAATAATGCTGGTGTGGTCTCTGGACATCACCTTCTGGAATGTCCCGATGAGCTCATTGAGAGAACCATGATGGTCAATTGCCATGCACACTTCTGGGTAAATATAAACATCCTTGTTTTTTATCCTTGTGCCCTGCCCCAATGAGAAGGTTGGAAAGAGAAAACTCAGTGCCACCTGCATTCTTTTACCACAGCGTCTCCTTCCTCCAAGTTATTCCCCCATGGTGAATTGCAGTGTACATATGTTGGTTACTATTAAATCACTGTTCACCCCCTCCCATTTAGTATTTCTTGAGAGGGAAGAAGACTGAACATTGTGAACTAGTTTGAAAGATTGCCATAAAAATAACAAGAGGGAGTATAAAACCCTGGGTTTGTTTATTTTACTTTCTGTTGAGTTTATAAAACATTGGTTGTTCTTATGAATTCCTAAAGTCAGGGTTTAGGCTTCCAAATTACTGCTCAGCCACATTTTAGAAAGTGCCAGAGATTCTGAGATCAGCATCTGTGGTCCATTGGGAGGCCACCATGGCAGTCATTTAACATCCTTTGACCATGTCTACAGGATCCATGGTGTTGTCCTGTTGGAGGACAGCCTAGGACTTTCTCAGCAGAGAAGGTGCTTCTCAACTGACAACAGAAGTCACTTCACTCAGATCTGAGAAGGGAAAGGGGTTGTGAGACCTGAGACACTGTCAGTGTGTAGTCATCAGAGCTACTGCAGCATCTGGGAATTGGGGTGGGTGGGGTCCTGCTGCTTCTGGTGCCAAAGAAATCCCAACTTTTCAGCTGAATTATCTTCCTAAAGGTAGGTGTGAAACTCTCCTATAACTGTACAGTATTTACACTGTTGACTCACTTTTTTCCCTCATAGTATTTTCCCTTTACTTTCAAAGACAGTTCCAGTAAAGAAGGGTAATGAGGACTGGGGCTGGAATGCTTGCACAGCAAGTGCAAAGCCCTGGGTTTGATGGGGGTGGGTGTAAGGGAATAGGGTTTTATTTATTTATTTTTTCATCAGCAGATTAGTCTTCTAGTAGAACACAACAAAGAACTGTTTCTCCCAAATAGGTCACATTAAACCTCATTAATTTTTTAGCAATTGCTTAAAAACTTAATCTGGCTTTAGAAGTACTTACTCAGATGTTGCTCAGCCAGTATGGAACCTCTTTTCTGATCCTGGAAGATGTTTTATTTTTAAATATAAGCTTTATTTAGTTCATTTTCAAACCTCTAGAAATGAACATATAAATAACCTGAGCTAAGTCATATCTATGTTTTACATGAGTAAGGAGGTTGCTATATATAGTGTAAGGGAACATAATTATGCCTGTGGTGTGCACGCAAGTAGGTGTATGTTGTATACAGTGGCTGTGGGGACTGAATTAAAGTTTTTGCTGCTTCTGAGTGTAAGAATAGGCAGCAAGTGTCAGAGTGCTATAGGTAAAGGCTAGCCCAACTGAATAAACTTGGCAGTACAATTTATCAAGAAGAATCTCAGATTATAATCTGAGTAAAGCAATCGTCATTTGAAATGAAAGAAAAAAAAGAAAAGGCAAACAGTAGAAGAATAGT